ACATAATTTCTTCCTTCTATTATCTCTCTTACTAAAACCCGCGAAACTTCGAAGTTTTAAGAATTTCTAGAAACTGCGATAAGATCAAGCATGGAGAATAATGTAATGGCGTCGAGCCGTTACACCCCCCCTCTTAAATTTCATCCGACAGAGTTAAAAATTTTACTATAGGTACTCAAGATCACAGCGCAAATTCCAAAAAAATACTCTGCAATAGTGTCTTGAGTATCTCTGGTAAAATGTTTAACTCGATCGGATGAAATTTAAGGGGAGTCGTAATGTGACAATGAAGCCTGGTAGCAAAAAAAATAGTTTTCCAGAAAAAACGCATTTTGTACACAGGCCACTTTATCCAGAGCATTTGCCGCGATGCTTATATCTCCGCTCATCGGAAATTCTGTAAAACCTCTCATCGTAAAGAAAACACAGGCATGCTATCATAGTATAGAGCAGCGAAAACTGAGCCCAAAAAATACGTGAAACTTCTCTAATTTTTGATTTTTCGCGAGAAAACCATGAGGAAAAAACATAACGAAATAAACGAATGCATTTAAAACGGTTTCATACCGTACCTTTCCTTCTACGAAACCTAAAAGGGTTTAGAAATGGTTGTACTTCTCTATACCCTTTTAGATTTCGTACACAAACCTTTCTTTTTTACAGAATACTAGCTTTGGACTTTCACTTGATTTTTTCTCCACGAATGGTTGGCAGTCTTGAACTCGCTTCACTAATAAGGATGAATGCGACTAATCAACTAACCATAAGTCATGATGAAATAGAGCTCTATATCCTCGTAGAAATAGAGAAATCTTCAGTAGAAACGTGTTCAGACCATTTACTTCTGATATACCTCAAGTATAACTATTCTTCAACTGATTTATTTGATAAGTAGAAAAATCAATCACGTTGGGAAACAGACAATTTGTTTAGAGAATATTTTCTCGACTTCCACGTCTGTCTTGAAGATTTTCGGCTGTGGCTTTAATTTCAAAGGCAGCTGATTCAAGTTGTTGTCGAAGTGCTGCTGTTTCTTCTTGCGTGTCTTCGATAGTTGACGGATCTTTCGATAACCATTGCAATTTATAATCTAATTCATTTTCATAAACATTATTTGTTGAGCGTAAACTGATCACGGTATCACCTAAATTAAGATTGTATGATAATTAATTTTATATTGAAATATACTGAGTAGTTTCATCGAATATTCAACAACATTACATGGACACTTCGTGTTAATCCGAAGACACAGCTCAAAAGAAAAGTCTTTCACATTCTGATAAAAGAAAAAATGTACTTTAAAAAGTCCAAAACATCGACGCATTGACCGACGTAAGCTTAGCATTAATTTTTTAGAAGAAATTTGTTACAAGAATCGCTGTTTTATTTCACATCAACAAGCACCTGCTGTTATTTATATTCACCCATGTACTAAAAATCTCATAAAAATCGTCAATTAATTGTACGCTAAATCACGATTAACTGACGATTTTTTTCTAAATACTAGGTTCGAACCCATCTTAGGAAATACATATATTTTTGTTCTTTCATTGCTTATTATCTATAATGACATGTACGTCACCGAGCAACGATCTTAACAACAGCTGAAGTCGAACCCTTCCCGACGAGTCAATTTTAGACATTGCTGAGACACCAGCTGTTCACGGGGCTCCTCGGCTTAAAGTTTTGAGGGACCATAGAGAAGACTCTTGACAACTCCGTTTTACTCTAAACTAAAAAGTTGATCTAAACAGAAGTATATTTCTCGTTGAAATCGTCTTTATTATATACATACTTTACTGCGAAATAAAAGGGTGAATAACAATAACCATTTAATTGCTTAAAATCAACACTTAATTGCAAAAAAATATCCGTATTTTAGAAAACGAATAAGGATATTTGCATTTGTAACTAATCGTAATGTTTTTTCATTTGTAAAGTATCGTTTATCCGTTGTGTTCGATATCGCAGAAAACGTTTATCCGTTTTTGCGGATACCATTAAAGGTATTGTAAAAAACTGATAAACGTTAATTACAAAACAAGAAAAAGTTTCTATTATTTACAAATGCAAATACTTTTATGCGTTTTCTAAAGTACGGATATTATTTAGAAGGCATGCTGAGCCGTTTGGCAATCTTTTTTCGCGGAAACATATTGGAAACCTATATCACGTGAAATATCCTATTTTTAACTATTTTAGCTACGAAAAATTAATAATTCATAACGCAGTCAAAATCGATCCATATTATTTCAGAATATCAAGGTATACACTATTTGATCTCCGCTGTAAAGTTCAGTAAAGGTATCAAGAAAGACCGAAAGCATTTCTACAATGCAATGCATAGGAGATGGAATAAGAGAAAGAAATTTTTAGAATTTAGAGAATTTTTTTACTACTATACAGCCAGTCTTGAATTAAAGAGAAAATTCATCGCTTTGAAATGACAGAGTCTGTTTTTAGAAATTTTTGTTCCTTACGTTTTACCATGTTTCAGTCAAAATCTGAGAAATCATTGAGTAGTTTCACGGATAATTAATCACGGATAGATTTAAACGTCATTTTCCCTTTTATCCAAGACCAAAAAAATAGCAGACTTTGGATTACCATACATTTGTATTTCAGAAAAAGCATCGTGTTTTCCAGGTTTCAAATTTAAATCAGGACCATCATTCTACGTTTCCACTTTAGAACAAGAAAAGTTTTTAGACTATTGCAACGCTTTAACCAAAACACAAAGACGTTTCAAAAAATGATAGGCAAATATATTTTTTAATTACTTTAGGAACAGAGCATTTTCATTTTATTCAAAAAAGTCAATTTCATAGTTTGTCAGCCAGAGCACGCAGAGAAGATAAAACTAAGTTTTTGATGGTGGCGGTTTGGGTATAATCGAACACGTTTTCGTGGAGTTCTAGCAGTGCTGAAGTTTTTTGGCGTATGTGGATCTCTATTTCTTAGACTGTTTTCCATGAAACAAAGTCTTCTTTCTTATATAGATGACGAGTGCGGTCCAGGACTAGATGAGGTAAAAGAAACTGAGCATGACACATTTCTTCTTTGTGGAAGGATCTTATCAGATGTCTATCAGGTTTTTGAGGTGTTTCATCGAATTGTAGGTTTTTAAGTCTCTTTCTACAAAACAAAACGTCAAGTGTACGATAAACCATATCGAATGACATATTTAACAAATGAATATTGTTTCATTGATGTTGTTTCATATTTTTGGCTTGGGTTTCCCCACCTATGCATTTTCACTCAAATAAATCACTCGATATAATTTTTCTACTTTGCTTTATCTACCTCTCTTCTACATACCATTATATTTTAAATGATCTTTCAGCTGACAGATAATTGCTCCATGAACTTTATCTTGTACAATAAATTCTTTCAAATGTTCATCATTTTCAAAAATTATTTCTCGAATAAACTCTTCATTATGTCGTTCACTGATGTTAACACTTTTAACATTTGATAAATATTTGTCAGGATGTTCAATAGTATCTACCAACAAGTCCCAAACAATTTCAAATCTTGAATGTATAAATTCCCGGTGAGATATCGATGGCATGTGTTCAATATTTATATCTAGAAGAAAATATGTGAAAATGATATTTTTATTGCTCAAAAGTTGAGTTCTGATCGAGAAAATTGGGAATTACGGTCAGAATTCCGAGTTTTTCGCCTCTTATTTAGAAAAAATGAATTTTCTCGGCGAAAAATTTTTTTTC